TTGTAGGTCACGTATATAGTCTATGTAGATATATATAGTGAGGTAGGTCACGTATATAGTCTATGTAGATATATATATAGTGATGTAGGTATCACGTATATAGTCTATGTAGATATATATATAATGATGTAGGTCACGTATATAGTCTATGTAGATATATATAGTGATGTAGGTCACGTATATAGTCTATGTAGATATATATATATAGTGATGTAGGTCACGTATATAGTCTATGTAGATATATATNGCACGTGTGTGAATGTGTGCGTACGTGCGCGCGTGCACGTGTGTGAATGCGTCCGTACGTGCGCGCGTGCATGTGCGTGAATGCGTGCGTAAGTGCGTAAGTGCATGTGTGTGAATGCATCCGTACGTGCGCGCGTGCACGTGTGTGAATGCGTCCGTACGTGCGCGCGTGCACGTGTGTGAATGCGTCCGTACGTGCGCGCGTGCACGTGTGTGAATGCGTGCGTACGTGCGCGCGTGCACGTGCGTGAATGCGTCCGTACATGCACGCGTGCACGTGTGTGAATGCGTCCGTACGTGCGCGCGTGCACGTGTGTGAATGCGTCCGTACGGTGCGCGCGTGCACGTGTGTGAATGCGTCCGTACGTGCGCGCGTGCACGTGTGTGAAATGCGGTCCGTGTCATACATCACCCTGGCACGGGACCAACACGCAAACACGGACGTCGGCAGTCGATTGTACCTACCCGTCTATACGATCACACGTACTTGGAGCGTCTCAATAAAAAAAACATAATGCTAAATAAACACGAAATGTATTTACTAGCCCAAAGTCTTTAAGTGTTTCTCGATCTCTTTCGCCTGATTATGTTCGATAACATTAATCCTGTAAATGCTGTTCATATGCTCCTCTGGCAACACACAGAGGTACATCGAAAAACTCGCACGCTGCTGCACATTTACACTTATAAAAAGAACGATCATTCATAGAGTGAATATAGCCTCAGGATGTCTCAGCTGTAGGCAGAGTACGCGTATATTGACTGACGTTGGTGCTTTAGCCTTATCGGGATTACAGCGTATCCACACATCTAAACAATCTGACGCATTATTTGAAGTGCGAGGAATTGATTAATATACTGTTCGGTTATTTACCCGACGGTGCCTGTCGGTTAGGTAACCGGGTGACGACGGCCACCTACTGAACACACAAGATACAAGTGCATCGATTTGTGCGATAATGGAATAATGGAATAATGATGGAACTGGATGAAGTGGATCAATGAGTATATCGCAGACGACAACCGTACCCTGTAAACGCCGCTCGATCCCAACGAATCTCTGTACCGCACGGCCGACGTTGTAGTCTACCAAGTAAAGACTCCTGCGTATAAGACTAACTATTGAGGTGGCCCGTGTTCGACGCTTGGCTCATTCTTCGCCGCGTCTTTGTAGGGCGATTCTCCTCTTAATTAGACTTAATTAGACTTAATTAGACGTCTGTTATAAATAAGCTTGACTGATGATCCTGACGTCAATTTTACGGCAACAAAGTATCAACCACAGACGTGCTGACGCACGCACGCACGCACGCACGCACACACGCACAGCACGCCCAGTCGCACACGCACACACGCACAACACCACGCATGACGCACGCTCTCAACACGAACGATGGCACGGTCACGACACATCCGAAGCGATGGCTACGCACCGCACGGACGAACGCATGACCGACGCCGCACGACGAAGTGCGGGGACGATGGCTACGCACGCAGCGGACGAACGATGGACGCACGCACGTGGCCGAACGATGGCTACGCCACGCAACACTGGACGAACGATGGGCACGCGAGCGCCCGGGACGAACGATGGCACGCACGCACACACGAACGATGGCACGCACGCACACACGAACGATGGCACGCACGCACGGACGAACGATGGCACGCTACGGCGACGCACGAACGATGGCACGATCGGCACGGACGAACGATGGCAACGCAACGCACTATATGCACGCGACGGCACTGAATGAACACGATGCTCGCACGAACGCACGAATGAACGAATGACCACACGCACGAACGCTGGCAAGCACGAACTAGCGAACGAATGAACGACAATGAACGGCACGAACAGATTACATATACACTCGTATAATATCTTTTATCATAAATATAAGCTTTATTTCGCTTCAAAAGCGACACAAACGCGGTGACTAAAATACCTGCAAAGGCGCAACAGATTTAAATATGAAGCAACTACAACACAACAATAAGCAACAACAACATACAACTACAACATTTACCGTGTGAGTGAGTTTAGTTATCACAATGACAAGTGAACAGGTCGTTATACGTGGGCAATAGGTATAGTTAGGGCGGCCTATATAACAAGAGAGTTGCGCCAACTCAGGATTTACGGGCCATTTGTGTTTCAAATTGGATTCCTCACCGCTGCCGCATAGTAAGCGCTGTAATGATACGCTGTACAATATTCCGTAGTAAATAAATTAGTAACTAATCGTGCTTCAATAAACCAAAACTTTAGACAGAGATTTATAAGCCAAGCACATTGTCATGTGTATCTAGATTGCTAAGAAATGTAACTCAAATCGTTCGCGGCCTATATGGATAATTTAATTGTACACTTCTTACGGCCATAGCCGTGCGTATCCATTTGGAACTACACATGTCGCCAGCGCCACCGACGTGACCGATAGTTTTCGCGACTCGTCCATGGCGGCAACTCTCTTGTATATAGGGACCCTAGGTATAGTATAGCTATAAGCGCATCATTCCGTCACAGGATTACTGGCGGATGGCGGTAATTGCCAGTAAGTGCATTGAGCGCAGCAATAATGCAAATCTCTTGGAACTAATCATATAGTAATTAAGTACCTATTATATCTACGACTACGACAGAACAAATAGAGGTCACAGCTGCTTCTTCTGCTGCTGCTGATGCTAATTGGGCTCTAATAACAAACATGTTCGTTTTTAGTGAAATTACAAAAATAGGTGTTTTGCGTGTTCGTGTGTGTGTGTGTGCACGCGCGTGTGTGTGTGTGCGTGCGTGCGTGCGTGCGTGTGTGTGTGTGTGTGTGCGTGCATGTGTATAATTCGCTCCACAAAGCCTCGTGAAATCACATATAGACATATCCATCACCGTCGGGAATTATATCCGTACTGAATCACGCCCCTCCCCCCTCCCCTCTCTGACCGCCTCTCCCCTCCTCCCTCTCATACTCGTTCTCTTCCTCTCTCATTCTGCTCTCTAATCTTATTGCTTCTAATTAATACGGAGCCACACGCGTGAGTATTAGACACGCTTTCTATTAAACGTTGAGCCAGCATCGCGTGAGATTTAGACACTGCTCTTCTATTTATACGTGAGCCACACGCGCTGAGATTAGACATGCCTTCTATTAATACGTGAGCCACCACGCGTGAGATTAGACATGCCTTCTATATACCGTGAGCCACCACGCGTGAGATTAGACATGCCTTCTATTAATACGTGAGCCACCACGCGTGAGATTAGACATGCCTTCTATTAATACGTGAGCCACCACGCGTGAGATTAGACATGCCTTCTATTAAAATCACGTGAGCATCGACGCCGTGAGATTAGACAATGCTCTTTAATACGTGAGCCACCACGGTAGATATAGACATGCCTTCTATTAATACGTGATGCTCACCACGCGTTGAGATTAGGGACATGCTCTATTAATTACGTCTGAGCCACCAACGCGTGAGAGCTTAGACATCCTTCTATTAATACGGACATAGAAGCATGCCTTCATAACTGAGGCCCGCGTGAGATTAGACATGCCTTCTATTACATAACGTGAGCCAGCACGCGTGGAGATTAGACAACTTCAAAGTGACACCGTAGTTAATGCATGCTTACGCACGCGTGAGTTGCATGACTGCTGAGCAGGTAGAAAAAGCCGGGAGTGTTTAGCTGAGCAGATGTGTCTGTGTGTGTGTGTGTGTGTGTGTGTGTGTGTGTGTGTGTGTGTGTGTGTGTGTGTGTGTGTGTGTGTGTGTGTGTGTGTGTCTACACACACGCACAGGCACACACACACACGCGTACGTTATATATATATATACAAAAATTCGCGCTCGCTCGCCGCGCCATCTAGCAGCGGTTGCGCCAGCCAATCACAGCCAGCGCAGCAGTACGATTTTCTTGAACGCGTCGCGAAACTCCTGGTTGCTGAAGTTGTAGACGAAAGGGTTGAGCGCCGAATTGAGATACGTCGACCAGAAGCAGAACGTGTAGAGCCCCGGAGAGACGAGGTCGGGCGCCCAGGCGCTGATGTCAAACACGATGTAGAACGGACCCCAGCAGACGAGAAACAGCGCGATGATGTAACCAAGGGTGACGGCGACGTGACGCTCATGATCGCGCTTGCGCTGCCGTCTGGCGGCGTTTACCGCCGTCGCCGTGTCGACGGCGCTCGGCGCGTCGGCGTCGCTCGTCGATCCGCCGCCGTTGCCGGTAGATGGCAACACGTGCAGAGTCCGCACGGCGGGCGGCGCGGCCCCGACAGCCGGCGAGCGACCGCCGCGCCGCTCGTTCGAACTACAGCTGACCATCGCCAACGTCGTCGACACCGGCGGTTTGTCGCGGCTCGTCGTGGCGACGGCGCCGACGGCGCGCCTGCGCAGTACGACGGTGACGACGCGGCTGTAGCAGACGATCATGATGCACAGTGGTACGTAGTGGCCGACGACGCCGACGAAGACGACGAACTCGCGGTTGTAACTCGGCTCCCAGATGCAGACGTACGGCTGACTCCACTTGATCCTGTAATAAGCGAGGACGTGTGTGAGTGGATGGAGTAGGTGGAGGTGCGTGCGTGTGTATCTCTCTCTCTCTCTCTCTTTCTCTCTCTCTCTTTCTCTGTGTCTCTCTCTCTCTTCCTCCCTTTCTCTCTTTTTGTATCCCTTCCCCTCCTTCTCGCTCTCTCTCTCCCTCTCTCCCTCCCCACTCTCTCTTTTTCTCTCTCCCTCTTTCTTTTTCTCCCTCTCTCTCCCCCTTTTCTCTCTCCCTCTCTCCCTCTCCCTCCCTCTCTCTCCCCCTCCCTCTCCCCTTCACTCTTTTTAAGATTAGCCGCAGCGCGGAGATCGCTATACTACGATGTCCACGATGGCTGCTGTTACAGCAATTCACGGTATTTTGCGGGTAATGATGGCTCATATTTTGTTATAGCCTTATATCGTGTTTCGTTCATCAGGATGCATGACGCAGGTTTCGCATTCAGAACTAATCAGAACGTGTGCATGTGACGTATGTAATATTATACCTCGCTGGTATACGGTTTCGGCCTTATACCGTGCTCGCCTTTATGCCTATGTAGGTCACGTATATAGCCTATGTAGATATATATATAGTGATGTAGGTATAACGTATATAGCCTATGTAGATATATATATAGTGATGTAGGTATAACGTATATACTAGATATAGAATAGTGATGTAGCGTCACGTTATTAGTCTATGAGATATATATATAGTGATGTAGGTAATAACGTATATAGCCTAGTGTAGATATTATATAGTGATGTAGTAAACTTATATAGTCTATCTAGATACGTATATATAAGTGATGTTTATTGTCACGTATATAATCTATGTAGATATATTATATAGTGATGTAGATAAAACGTATATAGTCATTATCTAGATATATATATAGTGATTGTAGTTCACGTATATCGTCTTCATGTAGGATATATATAGTGATGTAGGTATCCCGGATATAGTCTATGTAGATATATATAATATTAGTGTGTAGCTCACGTATATAGTCTATGTAATTATTAATATTATAGTGATTATTCTATTTCGTATAATAGTCTATGTAGATATATATATAGTGATGTAAGGGTCACGTATATAGTCTATGGTTAGATATATATATATGATGGAGGTCACGTATATAGTCTAGTTATGATATATATATATATTAGTGATGTTGTTCACGTATATAGTCTATGTAATATAATATAAGTCGTTTTGTAGCGTCAGTATATAGTCTATGTAGATTATAATATAGTGATGTTAGCCGTCACGTATATAGTTATGTAGAAATATAGCTGCATGTAGTCACGTATATATGAGTTAGGTCATTATATAAGTCTATGGTAGATATATATATATGATGTAGCGCTCACGTATATAGTCTATAGTAGAATAGATTATATAGTGTTGTAGGTCACGGATAGTAGTCTATGTAGATATATATATAAGTGTTGTAGGTCACGTATAGTATGATGTAGATATATATAGTGAGTAGGTCACGTATATAGGCTATGTAGAATTTTATTTTTATATATAGTGATTAGGTAACGTATATAGTCTATGTTTTAGATATAAGTAAGTGTTTGTAGTCACGAATAGTCTATGTGATATATATATAGGTTTAGGTCACCGTATTTATTCTATGTAGATAATATTATAGTGTCTGTAGGTCACGTAATATAGTCTATGTTAGAGTATATATATGAGGTTTAAGGCACGTATATAGTCTATGTAATATATATATATAGTGATGTAGGTATCACGATTATATAGTCTATGTAGATATATATATAATGATGTGGTCGACGTAATATAGTCTATGTAATATATATAGTGAGGTTAGGCTCACGTATATAGTTCTATTGTAGAGGGTATAATATATTAGGTGTATGTTAGGTTCACGTATAGTTATGTCTATGTAGATATATTCTATTAGTCGATGTAGGTCACGGTATATAGCTATGTTAGACTATATACTCATATATAGTGATGTAGTCACGTAATATAGTCTATGTAAGATATTATATATTAATATAGTGATGTAGGTCACGTATATAGTCTATGTAGATATATATATATAGTGATGTAGGTCACGTATATAGTCTATGTAGATATATATATAGTGATGTAGGTCACGTATAATATAGTCTATGTAGATATATATATATATAGTGATGTAGGTCACGTATATAGTCTATGTAGATATATATATAGTGATGTAGGTCACGTATATAGTCTATGTAGATATATATA